ATCTATTTACTATAACATTACGTTTTTATAAATATTAAGCTATTATGTGGCGTTGTAAAGCCTCATTTTTGAGATCGCTGAGATGGTGTTCAGCGTGCACGAGATGAATCCGTGCACGAGGTGCACAGACACGTTATGTAAACAGAGAGTGAGTCCACAATCAAAACTCTATACTTCATTGATATCGAGTATGAATTGAGCACCCTTTGGAGATGAGGCAATCCATGTCAAACTTCGTCGTTGGCTACATTTTTGTATACGATACTATGAAAGTGATTTACCACATCAAGAGTCGTGGCGGATGGTAAAAGGGCCGCAATGGACTGACTTGGGCTCGTATCAACAGGAGTCTACCCAAATTCTTGCTCTCCATCTTTTTATCTCACACAATTCCAGCGCGAATAGAGAAAGAGGGCTATTTTGGGCTTCGTGAGCAGTATCGGCTCTGTGTAACGAGGATGGAAACATTAAGAATAAGTATATGATTGGAGCGACATATTCAAAATTTGGGGGACAGTATATGCTCGAAGTTTGCAGCAACCCCTAGTCAGATAAACGCCAATTGATCCTTCGCCCGCTGGTGCATGTATGAATCGCTGAATCGAGGACAAGCAAAAACGGGAGCGCAGATCGTTTCATTATCCACCGCCCTTTGTCCATATCTACTTCTAGAAGCAGACACCGCCGTTGTTCCCAAGACTTGAACAGCAGCCGCTGAATCGACTTTGGAGAAGGTTGAAATCTCCTCTCCTGGGGAAGACGCAGTTGCCAGTTGAGTTTTCAAAGTTCGCAGGCTCGCGAGCCTTTGTGCAGCAAGTTTCTCCGGATATTAGTGGGAGAGATCCTGATCCAACGCAGTAGCAGTTGTCGGTTGCTTAGACGCCGGGAGACTTGTCAGTTGAGGCGGTTCTTACAAATGTTCTTTTTGACAAGATGAGGAAAACGCACGGAGACTGTACTCGCGAGGAGTAGAATGCTGGCTGTGAGACTGAACTTCATGTTGAAATTTGATTACTGAAGACGGTGTAATGGAGCAGGGAAAAGAATATATATCACCTGTCAAACCATTGTCGCAGTAAAATGAATAAAGAACTATATGTGGCGAATTTTTAAACTTATATATATATATATATATATATATATACACTGCTAACACCATGTTACCTATATCTCCTATTCGCACGGTCACACATAAGTCGGAGGATTGCAGCAAGTAAGAATAGCTAGCTGTCAGGAAATGTCGCTAAATTTTGATTAAGTATGGCTATCTTACACAACTACTCACTTAGTTTACGACATTGAATCAAGAAAATAAGAAGGTAATACGAAGGGAGCGAATAAGAAAGCGGTAATACATTGCCCGAGCCAGCTCAAACACGAATGAATATTTTTCTCCGTTGCCGTGAGCGTCATAAATCAGACCAATTTCCATGACCGTCGTCTACTTGCGTCGTTGGAGAAAGTCCTTGGCTGAAGCCGTGACGGAATATCCGTTGAAAAGCCAGTCGTTTGAGTGTCGGCCTCTCCACGGATCGCTACCGCTAGTAGTTCTCCTGCCTGTATCCTGGAGAGTCGGTCTGGCGCTCTGTCCTGGTGGAGATGCTGGACCTGGCGAAGTGGTTGAGTTGGCGGTAGATGCATGTCGTGAGTGTGGTGGCATGGCTACGGGCGGCGACTTTTGTTGCCTGTCTGAAGGGGCGCCGCGAGAGCGACTTCGTGAGCGACCGCGGATTCGCGCTGTGATGGCGCCGAAGAAGGACTCTTCGGTTGGCGATGTTACCATGCGAGATGCTGGTGATGCTGGGGAGTAGGGTGGAGAGATTTGGCCCGATGATGATGATGTTTGCGAATCAACTGTGTTTGTGCGGATGGGAAGGGGCATGGTTTGAGTGTGTGAGGCCATGCTGGATACCACTATGTTGAAAAATGTAATAGCAGAGAGATACAAGCAGTGATGTTTATATTCGAGTTGATGGATCAGCCAAGTGTTGGCGCGGATAAATAAGATGACTGCAGAGGGGGAGTGTGAGGCTCAACATCAGGCCGTCGGCTGGATTTATAACCCGCCCTATGGTCCGCTCCTCAGTCCCTCTTTGTGTGTCCTCATTGCCGCTTGACTTGGCGCATATCGCAGCTCTGTCGAGGTGACGGTGACGCTTTGCACCCTCGAGCCCTTGCACCCAATCACAGGACGTGAATGGTGGGCGGGGCGGTAGAATCGCCCATGTTCCTTTGGAAAGCTCACCGACTCCCCACTTTCGAGCATCGGTCTAGAGACCCACAGTCGCACTGCAAAGCCAACACATCTAGACAAAGTGCCAGGGCGTCATGGGTGTGCCATTGCAATATAGGGCTTAGCGGCACGTCAATCACTGCGCATGGGATGCGACGGAACCACGATTTAGGGTCACCGGTTTTCAGGGATGCGCCCAGACTGTCCCACCACCATGGTTCCAAGTGTCCTTGGTGATTATTGATATTCACCTGCGCGGCTTGTTGCGTATGGACACTCGGATAGAGCGAGATTGTCCAACGACGTGTTACCAGTTGTTGCCGTGGTCTGTCACAAGCACACAAAGTCCTGCAGGACTCTGCCGTGCCGTGTCCTCGAGGACTGCGGATGCGCCTCAACATGCAAGTCGAGGGGATCAGGCGTGCCCGTACCAAAACATGCTCTCGAGTACCAAGCAACTTCCATGGAACCCGGCCACATCCTCAGCTCTGGCCCTCCGTTTTGGTTCTCACAAGACGCCTACTGTACAGTATCTCGGTCGACGACGACGACTATGGCGCGATACCCCGCATTTTTGCGACTCATTGTCTGCATCCACGACATCGGCCAGACCGACGTCTGGTGGTTTTGCAGCAAAGACATGGCGCCGTCCAAGTGCCAAGATGTGCACAATCAAGGCAGCAGACGCGAAACCACCACGCAACTTTATCTCGCAATATCCAATCTGAGGTGCATGGCGTCTGGGGATATCAAGGCAGCCATGGCTTCCGCGGCCCTAGCTTCCACGCAACCACAAAAACTTGCATGTTCTGGAAAATAAACTTTTGACAATAACGGATGACAAATGACGAATGCAAGGGTAAAAAATACTCAGGGGTCCAGAAAGCGGGCAAAGGTTGCAGTGTCGGTGTTGTTCTCGCTTCGCTTTCCGGAGCAAAAAAGTCATAACGTTGCAATCGAGAGAAGGATGTTATGCATCCTCCGGGAGTCGAACCCGGGCCAATTGCTTGGAAGGCAATTATCCTACCGTTGGACCAAGAATGCTTGATGGAAGTTTGCAAGATGTAATGATATATATTGCCTACAGGGGTTGCCGTCTTACTATCGCAATGCGACGGACTTCATCTCAGTCTTGGCGCACAGATTGCACTCCTCCCTACTGGCATCGAAGAATCAGGCTAGCACAACCGCCATCGTTCCTGACCCTGAACTCAACGTCACTGCGATGTTCATCCAAAGATCTATCCAATTTTTATCTCTATTCGTTCTACATCACCTAGAGGATGTGGGTATAATCTACAATAAGAAAAATTCAAGTCAAGATGACATGGTAATAGAAGATCACTAAACAAAATTCAATCTTCATACTTCAGTCCTGATGACAAGATCAGACCAAGCAATTCGCCCACTTCATTGATATCGAGCTTTTCAACGCCCATGCAATGCCTAAAATGATGCAAATTCGTATTTTCCATAGACCAATATAATCTCCACAAAGCCTTCACCATCCATACCGATTACCCGCCTCCCTCTTATTCCGGGCACTAGCAGCAAAATGGTCCTCGAGTGCATCCTTCTGCGTAGTCGCGACATTAACCAAGCTGCGAAGACTGTTCTTTCCAGTACCGGAAATGGACTTGAGCGGGTTGTGCGACACTGCCTCGCCCTGCTGTCGCAGCCGTTCGTTGTGTGCGTACTCCTCGTCGGTATTGAATTCGACTATCTTTGCGCCTGAGAAGTCTGGTCCACCGCGGCCCTTTTTGCCGAATAGTTGGCGCCGTTCGGCTTCCGAGAGATTGAGCTCTGAGGCAATGTTTGTGAGGCCGTTACCAGCTGAGGCGTTGGCAGATGGTGCTGCATACTGAGGGGTGTAGTTTGTCGAGTGTCCTTCAAAGGCTGCGTCGGGCACAGGCGCATCCTCGTCTTGTTCCGTCCCGTATAGTAGTGGTTGGTATTCTCCGTCAGATGGCGCCTTGGTTGCAGGCTGTGCACCACCCGATACGCCGAAAAGGGAAACTTTTGGCTTTTGCGGTTTTGTTTCTACAACGGGTGGTTGTGATGTCGATACTGCTGCGCTTGTTGGGCCGGCTGCCTCAGTTGATGCGAGCACTGGGCGAGGCGCTACTGGTTTCTTCTTCTTTCCCTTGCCCACAGACATGGGCACGAAACGCGGCGCCGCAGGTTTCGGTGCTTGCTGCGGCTCCGGCTCCACCTTTGTGTCTTGCGCTGGCAACGCCGGTTTTGTGTCAGGCTTTGCTTGTGACTTTGGAGGCGGCAGATTCAGCATGGCCCTGAAATCGTCCTTGTTCATCGGCTCCTTTTTGATTGGGTTCCCAGTCTCGTCATACTCCTCGGTATCTGCTCTTGGCTCCCGCTTAAAGGCAGGTTCAGCACCAGTCTTCAAGCTGATGCCTGACGCGAGCCCTTTGCCGAGTCCTCTGCTCCCAGATTTTGCGCCCTCCGCTGCTGCGATGGCATTCAGATTGGGCTTCTTTGGCGCAGGCAACATTGCATTGAAACCAGCAAACGACGAGCCTCCTCCCAGGCGCGGCTTTTTCGTAGGCGGCGCGTCTCCCTGAATGTCATCCTTGTCCTGTCGCGACTGCGATGCGCCTGGGAGGTTGACTTTGATTCGTCCTGGGTTGGATCGGTCGACGACTTTCTGAAAGGCGGGTTTCGAGGCGGGTTTGGCGGCGACTTGGGGCGCAGAGGGCGCCTCGCTGTCGGATTCCGAGTCGGAGTAACCAGCGAGGAGGTTCATGGTGTTGGGAGGGTCTTGGCGTGGAGTGAAGGTTGAGAGAGGGCTGTGGTCGGAAAGTTTACAGAACGATGAGATCACATCGGCGCGTCAACGGGTGCAGCAGCCAAGCCCAGCCAGGGTCCAGGTACATGCACATGCACTTCCCCACAGCCTCCACTTCTGCATCTCTGCCCATGGGCGTTTTATGATTCCCGTCAGCTGGTCTGAGCATACATAGCTTTCGATTCTGAGATGTTGATACCTTTACCCTGACCCTGCAACCATGTCCCTCCTTCAAAATGAAGAGTAAGCGGTCGTCCTCTTCGCGTCGCATCGCCAGCTGACTGACGTATGTAGTTTCGTGCTATACCAGCTTCGCACCGCCTACCTAGGCGCCATCAAGGACGGCGTGGGTGAGCGCCTGATCAATGTCGACTCGAGTGTTCTGAACAACCCAGCATTCCGTGCCGCTGGCTGGGTGCCCAATGCCTCCGACATCAAGCGCACCTACTCCCCACCGATCCCAACCGCCATCACCTCTGAGTACTTTCAAGCCCCGCGTTCGGCTGGCCTGAAGCCGCCCGAGGGTTTCGGAGACGATGAAGAAGAGGGCGGCATGGTCACGGGAGCCGGAAGTAACGACACTGTGGGGCCAACCTTGAACGCGAAGCGCAGACGGCGCAAGGAGCAGCTGGAGGAGGATGACAGTAGCGACCTCAGCGATGAGAGCGATGATGAGGATGACTCGCAAAGGTAGGCCGATATATTGCGCCGCGGCCTGTAAACTGACCAAGCTTCAGACCAGCCAACCTGATCAAGTTCACCAAGATGCCCCTACGCACCCGTTCTGGTTCGTCGCCCATGCGTGGGTCAGCACTGCGCAACGAGCTTGCAGAGGCCGGAGAAGGGCCTTCACTCATGATTACTTCACCGTCGCGCCCGCCGGAGGATATTCCACGTAGATCGTCTCTACCTACCGTCGAGTCGTCCAAAGGAAGGGCCAGGAGAGACACCATTACCAGCAGCGAAATGTCGTCAGAAAACGAGTTCGACAACTCGTCCTTCAGGAAGAGACGAGTTAAGCCTCGAAAAGCTGCTAGTGCGAACCACTCGCTTTCCCAACGGAAAGATGAGTATCAAGGAGACGCTGCTGGTTCGCGCGGTCGTTTGGAAGCGCTGGACGAAGGCGACGAGTCTGATGATTCTTTGACGTCTGAATTTTCTGGTTCTAACAGCAGCGCCTCCTTCATAGGTGTAGCCGGCGACCCTCTAGATTCTTCTCCCGCAGGCGGTGACCTTCCTACCATGCCTGGCTTGACGCCTTTCCAAAACATGTCTCCCAAGAAGAAGAAGAACGAGCCAGTCCAGCCGACGCTCCAGGCTCTGCCTCCACCACGACCAATTAGTTTTGTGCTGCCCGTGAGTGCTTTGACCCAAGCAATTCGGGCCAAGGAGCAGAAGCCGTCTGATCCCCTGCAACGTTTCGCTATGTGGAATGCTGCGAGTGAGGCTCAGCAAAACCCATTGTTTATCAAGTTATACTGTCCATTTTCTTCAAAACCATCCAAGCCTATAGAGCTGCTGATTAGGAAGTTCAACGACAAAGGAGAGGGACCTACGGTAGCAGAGGCTATTGGATATGCGTTGCACCGCTACCAGGAAGAGAAGCTGGAGCCGCCATTGACAGCTGAGCAGTTGAATGTCAACTGTTGGGTCATGCGCATGTACGACGACGGCGAGGTCGACGACGAATTCCCGCCGTTGACGAGGAACAAGCCACTGAAAGACTTTGCATCCAACAACGCTCGCGGAATGCGACCTCGTGCGAGGGACAAGCCTTGGGACGAGTTTGCGCTCGTTGCAGCGACCCAGCGGGAGTTTGGCGAAAACGAGAAGCTTACGCCCATCTACAGCCAGGAAGCTGCTAGTGCCGTTGTATCGCAAGGTGATGGTGCCGATGGCCAGGAAGAGAGCGAGGAGAAGAAGCCTGTAAAGCCCATGCCCAGCCGAGCTAAGAGCTTCCGAAATCCAATCACTGGCCCGTCTTTTGCACCAACAGCAACCCGTAAAGATACGAGCAATCTGGCAGATGTGCCAAAGGTGGCGCCATCGCATGCTGCTAGTCGTACTGGAGCCCCGAGGACAGTCAACATTCATTTCACTGACGAGAATTTCAACACCAAACACTTTTCACTGCCATGCACAACCGATACCTATATCGCTGATCTATTCGACCAAGTATGCCACGATCTCCAGCTCGAAAAGGGCCTCTACATCCTCAAAGTAAGCGGCAGCACCACTGTAGCACCACCCGACCGCACCGTAGAAGCCCTAGACACACGCATGGATCTAGATCTCGTGCGCCGCCGCTTCGTAGGCGACGGCGTCTTCGGCCTCTCAGGCTCACCAGGCTCCTCGTCCCCCAATGCACCCCTCATCATCAGCACGGGCGGCGCCCCCAAGAAGACCAAAAAAGGCGACCGCACCCACGCCGCCGTCTCCGGCGCAGGTCTCTTACACCCCCTCGCCCGAACCGGCGACTCGGGCGCCCTCGCCCTCTCAACAAACAACTACTACCGCCGCTACGCCGTCCTCCGCAAACAACCCATGTCCTTTGCCTCGTCCACGTCACGCATCATCGCTCTCGACAACGAGTACATCCACATTATGCCCGGCGAATCCAAAACCGGTGCTCGCGGCGGCTTTGGTGTCGAGGCTCAGGGCAAAACTACCACTGTCCATTTTAGCAGCGTCGTGGGCAGCAAGGTGTCTAAGAAACACCCCAAGATGTTCAGGGTTATTGTGTTCAAGGAGAGGGAGACGAAACGGTATGATTTTGAGGCGCAGAGTAATGATGAGGCGATTGAGATTGTAAGGGAGATTAAGAAGGGAGTGGAGCGGTTTCAGGAGGGGATTGTATAGGTCGGTGAGATGGTGATTATTTGGGGCTGAAGTTTGGTCTTTTTTTTTGGTCGCTGCTCTCTTTTTTTTTACAAAGTTGGGTATAGACGATGGCAAATTCTTTTTTTTGCAATGGGGAGGGGAAGGTCGATGACGATATCGGGACGGTTATCTTTTTTTTGGGCGGGGGAGAGGTCGGTGTTTGGGACATTGCTAGCATTTATTCCAAAGTTTAACGAGAGATACCAAGGATTATGTAGATTCCTGTCTTTTGTTCATTTCTTGGACATTACATACTCACAGAAAAAAACATACATATATATACATAAAAGCACGATGTATATGGGAAAAAAAAGATGGCAACTCTTCTCGGACCGAGAAATAGATATATAAAGTTCAGAGTTTATATTCACATCAACCCTCCAAAAAAATATATACATGGAAGAAAGGATAGTAAGATAAATAACTATTATTCCCAGCGTTTCAAAAAAAAAAAAGTCTCATACCTCATTTTCTACCGCCCAAAATTAAATTCATCCGCACCATTCTTCCATTTTGCAAAAATCTCAACAGGAAACTGCTCAGCAAGATGCGCGTATCCCACCGGTCCGGGGTGAAGATAATCACCGCTATCATACTGGGGCGCTAGCTGACTAGGAATCTTAGGATCAGCCAGAAACTTGTCGAAATCGACAACGGCATCAAAGACGCCGCTGGTACGGATGAATTCGTTGATGCGCTGCCTCGTCTTTTCGCGCTCGGGGTTCGAGTAGGGCTGGCCGGTGAAGTTTGAGGGAGCGCTAAAGGGCGTGATGGTTGCGCCGAAGACGGGGATGCCGTGGGCGTGGATAAGAGAGACCATTTGCTTGTAGGCTTGGACGAGGGAGGCGTAGATTTGGTTTTGGACGTCGGGGGTGGGAGGAGCACTGCCAATGTCGTTTACGCCCTCGAAGATCATGGCGTACTTGACGCCGGGGTGGGCGAGGACGTCGCGGTCAACACGGCCAAAGGCATTGGGACCGAGGCCGTCTGCGAGAATACGGTTTCCGCCTGCGGCGAGATTGCCGACGGAGATGGACTTTGTGGCTGGGTTCTTCTGGAGGCGGGCGAGGAGGAGATTTGGCCATCGGTCGTTCTTGTTGGTGGTAGAGCCACGGCCGTCCGTAATGCTGTCGCCAATAATGAGGAGAGAGCCGACGTTTTGTGGGACCCAGGCTTCGATCGATGAGATGAAATACCAGTGTGCTGCTGACTGTGTCGCTGGGTTGGTAATGGCCAGACTTGGCGCGCTGACGGCGTTGCCAAATTGCCACCAGCTGGTTGTCCGGGATCCTGGATGGCTGGTGATGCTGTTTGTCCTCTGACCAGCCGCAAGATACATGGTTACGGTAATGACTTGTTGTGCCTTGATTGGGAAGTTGATGGGATCCGATACAGCGAGTGCGCCGTTGGGGACACTGATTCCATCTTCACCGCCAAAGGTGACCTTTTGAAGCGTCTGAGGCTGGATGTCGTAGATACCAGCGGTCTGGTTTGCGGGAAGTGCGACTGTAACTGCAGTGATGGGGAGATTGGAGCCACCAAAGACGTTTGTGAATTTTAGGCGGATCTGATTGGCGTCGGTGGTCACGTAGAGCGTCTGACGAACGGTACTGTTGACGAAGACGGCGCCAGTTTGGTTCTGTACGAGCTGTGTTAGAACGCTATACACAGCTACATATAACAAAGTATACGTACAAACGGTGCTGGTGGTAGGTTTGCTGGCTCAGTAAGCTGGGGCATTGTTGCAAATGCATCGACCCAGTGGCCACCGGAAGGATTGGGGCGGATGCTGGGCTTGGTTTGTCTACTGTCGATTGCATCGCAGTGAACGGATACTGCAGCGCCCGCGAGGAGCACTGCCAGCTTTGAGAAGATCATCTTGACTTGATCACTCTGTAATCGACAATGGTAAAGAATGACGACTGTACAAGCAGACCCGGGAGCCAGGACACGAGCATATTTAATACTTGACGGAAACACCTAAATTACGGATGTCTGGGGAAACCCATCGAGCTAGACAGGAACATTAAGGCCCATTGAGGATAGCACACGAACCGATCTACGGCCTGTTCCTGAATAGGCATACATGCGGGCGTCACATTGTGGGGTTTGGTGGAGAGAGCGGATAAATTGGAGAGGCCGAAGAAAGTTGGTTGGTGGGCAGGAGGCTCTTTACCCATCGGTTGCAAACCGTGTAAACTAAATACACGACCGTGGCTTACAGGATCTTTAAGACTCGGATATAATTATTCCGTCAGTACAAGTAGGTAAAAAGAAGGCTGAAACAAGGAAAATCGTGTATCCGTATTCATTGGTATCGTATCAATCAAGGTAAACAGAACAAGACAACGCCGCCCATGCAATGCAATTGAAGAAACTGTTCCATCGGCCTGCAAAAGGGCCGCCCGGTGCCGTGGCACTTGCCTTGTGCGTAGGCCCGGCAAAAGATCGCATTTGGTCAAAGAGGCGCCCGGAAGCAAGTAGCGTGGCGCATAAATCAAATGTGGGGCTTGGCGTCACTCACATTGATGATGTTCTATTGCAACGCGCGAATGAGCCTCATCTGGTGGAAATTGTAAGGGTTGGCGTGAACCAAGGGCAGCATGGCAAATCTACATGTTTGCACCTAATGACCTCGTGGGAGTGGAGAACCACTAGGCAGAGTTGAGATGCGAGTGGGTGGTGGCGCGCGCCCATAGTAGTCGAATGGCAAACAGGGAAGCCGAAAGGACCCGCAGGGCAAACGGGAGGCTAGCAGCTTCTTTCTAGGCGACGGCATACATGACGTCGACGGGTGAGGCTGCAGCGAACGGCACGCTTGTGCGCAGAGAGCAGTACGGCATTAACGTCTCTGTTTGGCTCAAAAGTCGTCGTCGCTGTCGGCCTTTTTCTTTTTCCGGCTCGACGTCTTCTTCTTCTTACCGTCGACTTCCATGCTGTCGGCCTCGCTCTTGTCGGGCGCATCGGCGACTTTTGAGACAATCTCGTTGAGGAAGTCGAAGCGGTCTGTCTTGGTAATTGCCTGCTTGAGGTGGATGGAGCCGACGCGCTTCGAGTTGCGCGACTTTGCCTCGGCGGCAGCCTTTGTGACGAGGGAGATCATGAAGAGCTCAAGGGCTTTTGCTGGGGGCGCGTTAGCAGAATCCTGGCGCGGGCAAGCATGAGGTGGGGGAGGGGAAAGGAGGGGACACGTACAAACAACAACGGGTGTGACCTGAGCGACCTTTCCGACGTCATCATCGGCCTGCATAATGCGCTTTATGCGCGCGACAGGAAAATGATTCTTGATGGTGATGTGGTCGGTGTTGGGCAGGTCTGGGACTGCAGACATTTGCGGGAGCGACGCGTCGGGGATGTAGTCTGCATCGTGCATGGCGTCCCCGCTGGCGAGATGGCGAGGCATGGGGCTCTGCAGCATAGAGTGGGCGGTGTTCTGGGGCGGTGGCGGGTACTGGTGGTGGTGGTGGTGATGCTGCGGGTGGTGGTAGTGGTGCTGGTGGTGGGCGTCGAAGGAAGATAAATCTGGCGGCTGCAGTGGAGCCCAGGGCATAACGACAGGGGGCGGGCGCGAACTATGCGGGCGGTGAAATGCTTTTCTGCCACTGTGCCAGTCGTCACTTCCGCGCGAGGGCGGGGCATCCACCGCGCTTTATCTGCTCAGGGCGCCTTCCCGCCAAGACAATGTGGTGCGTGCTTCCAGCTCCCCTGCGCCCGCACCATTGATCAACTGCTACTCTATCCCCTCCTCTTCCCTTTCCTCCCCCAGTGGATGACGATAACGAGCACGCCAGAGACCATGGCCGCGACTCCGCGTACACAGTAGGCGTCGCGGTGCCTGCCTCTGCCCGCAACGACGAAACCCGCCCAGGGCATACCCCACGGCTGCGGTTGATCGGCGCGCACAAGCAGGCGTCGCTGAGGCTGTAATTACTTGATCTAATCTGACACTATACAAGCCACGTACAATACACTCTATACAGTACATACCCGCGCCCCCCTCAGCCATCCTTGGTGATGCTGTCGTCCTCCTTGCGCCCTTCTCTGTGAGGCCCCTCGCGCAACCATGTCGTCGCAAGGCTGTTCTTTGGATCATCCTCAGGGTACCCGCGCTGCCGCCGTACATCGACCACCGCCTGCCGTACGCGCCTTGTGCACTCTTTGCGTATCTCCACGGCTTCTTTCGAGTACTTGAGCGAATCGTTGAGTACCCCGGCCGCCAGCCGCTCGCCCTTGGCTTGTTCCTTCGCCTGAAGCTGCTTCCACCGCCTGCGCAAGTCACCAAACACCTCTTCCGTATCGAGCTTTTCTCCAAACGTCACCCGCACGTTCTGAAATGGTCGTGGGATGAATCGTGGAAACGTGCGTGTCTCGTGCATGATGTTGTCGAAACCCTCGACGAAAATGGGCACAACGTCCGGCATTGGCTCGCTCTCCAGTATCAGTCGCGACACACCCCACTTGAAGTAGCGCATGATTCTCTGCTCGCTCTGGTGGATCATGCCCTCTGGAAAAATGTGAACCCACGCATGTCGCCGGTTTCTGTACGCCGAGGGTGCGGGGAACGTGTCGTGGCCATTGGTAGAGAAGGTAAGGTGTCCGCCGCTAAAGGGATCAATAAGGTCTGGGCTCTTGAGTGATGTCGCGGGCTTCTCTGGAGGGTCTTGTTCGTGCAGAAAAGGTCCGCACGACAACAGGCGGATCGCTTGCGTTATGGTGGGCTGGAAAAGGCCGCCGTACTGCGAATGCGCAGAGCGATGCGTGGGGAGAACTTGGCCGAAAGTGAAAAAAGTTGACAGCCCTCTGTCCTCCGTTAGCTATGCGACGGGCCATGAGCGGCAAACGTACTTATTTGTGAAGCACAAATCGTAACTCCCAAGTCCCCAACGCAGATTGTCCGGGTTGAACATGTAGCTGAGGGGAAGAATGCCCCATAGGATCGGATCGTCCATTCTGTCCCAACTGCATGAGCACAGTGCTTTGTCTTGCAAGATCAATGCTGTGGCAAACGTACGTACACGGAGATGTGGTTCGAAACTGCGAGGACAATTAGCACAAGCACATGGTCATGCAATTGGCTTCCTCGAATGCATACCAGTAATCAGTCCCCTCTCCCTCTTTGCAGGGTCCTCTCTCTCGTCGAGCAGCTGTAGAAACTCGTCCATGCCGTGAGTCTCGACTTTGCTCAGCCCAGCGAGAAACCCTTTGCACAAAAGCCCCACGGCGCCCATTGTAATCATGGAAGCAGCGCGCCATGGCCCACTGGGCGCCTCTGGCTGGTCCTCTGGTCGCATTGCGAGTGTTGTAGATCAAAGAATGCCATGTGCAGATTTCGCGTCCAGCAGGTGAGCAACAGCCTTGCACCCCAACGTCACTGGCCGCCTGGCCGCCAGGAACCAGGCAATTTTGGTGACAGGGATTCCGGCAAGGCGGTCGGCACGTGCAGCCGCTGGCTGGCTCTTCGTTCCCCGACCCTTCTCAGCTCTCCTACACTACCCGATCCATGTCAGCATTTCGACATCTCAACATCTTTTCGCCGTCTTGCCGCTTCTCCCGTATCAATATCGCCTGAACTAAGTATACCACGCAGTACCTGGTAGACTCAAGCTTGGCACCAACACACGTGACCAACTGCAAGCGCGTCGCAAACTAGTCCTACATGGGTGTGAGACGCGCTTTGCCATTATCAACCATTTGCCTCTACTCCTAACCACTTGTCTCACATCGCCTCAACATGCCACCGCCAAAGACTGTATTCACATCATATGAGCGAAACTCGCTCAAGGATAGATGGGGTTCGCAATCAACGCGCCTCACACGTGATTCATTCCTGCCATTCGGCTCCTGCCAGCTCTGTCTTCTTCCATCAGTAGATCCAGTATGCTGTTCTCAAGGCGACCTCTTTTGTCGAGAATGTGCCTTGACGAATCTATTGGCGCAAAAAAATGAGATGAAGCGGCTGGAAAAGCTCAATGAGCGGCAAAAGCTCGAAGAAGAGGAGAACAAGCTGCGCGAGGAAGAGGAGGCCAGGCTGCGAGCGGTAGAAGAGTTTGAGCTGGTTCAGCAGGGGCTCTCTGTCAAGGCGGGATCATCAGCAAAAATGGTGGGAAGAGAGGGAGGCAAGATTGTGGTGGAAGAAGAGCAGGACCCCAAAGCAGCTGGTCACGGCAGAGGCACGAAGCGAAAGTTTGAAATTGACGAGGAGGAGCTGAAGCGCATTGCGAACGAGGAACAGCGAAAAGCAAAGCGTAACCTCGACGAAGAACGCAAAGCTGCAAAAGGCCATCTCCCGAGTTTTTGGGTACCAGGCGAGACACCTGATCAGCACCACAAGACTGCTGAAAAGGCGAAGAACACGCCCATATGCCCATCCAGCTCCCCCGACCAGCCTCACAGTCTATCCCTCAAAGGGCTCACGAGAGTTCATTTCCATGAAGAGAAGTCTACTGAGACCGGCAAGCCGGTGCGCACATGTCCGAGCTGCCAAAAGGCGTTGTCAAATAGTACAAAAGCCATGCTTGCTATTCCTTGCGGCCATGTCCTTTGCAAGCCTTGCGTCGACAAGTTTCTCAAGCCAGAACATCGTCATCACCGCGATGCGCATGACGATGCGCCAGAACCAGATTCGATACATTGCTACGTCTGCGATGCCGATCTTAGCGCCGTACCGGATACCAAGGAGGGGAAGAAGAAGAAAAAGAAGGAGCAGGCGCCTAAGCCGGGATTAGTCGAAATTCGGAGTGAAGGCACAGGGTTTGCAAGTGGTGGAAAAGCCATGGTCAAGAGAGAGGGTGTTGCTTTCCAGGTCTAGGGAGTGGAAGAATTCGAAAGAGTTAGTCGTTGGTAATGAATATCATCATGTCCTAGGCGGATTTAATCCTCATCGAGTCACATCACCCAACGGGATAGAATACAACTCTAGATTCCGACTTTCACCGAGTCAGCCCTGATGCCGTGGACCATGTGGTTAATAGAGATGGATGGATATTATGATTTCACATGAACAAAATCTTATTTACAGTACATTCTCCAGATATGTTTGCTACTACATATACAGCTCCACGTAGCATAATCAGTCAAACACGCTCCCACGGCTCCACTTACTCGCCCTCCTTACCCTTTTGCCAAATACATAGAAGACAAAAGGCACAGGAATAAGAAGCGCTGCAAACCCGCCCGTGATGGAACTAGCTGGCCCAACACCAAGATTGTGGTACAATGGCGTAACAACTAGCGGAAATGCACCGGCGAACACACTGCGCAGAAATGTGTTTGCCGCCACTGCGCTCGCTGCGTACAGCGTGAAGGTATCGACGAGGTAGTTGAGCGCAGCCTGGAAAATGGTAAAGAAACCTGTACCCATTAGCACGAGGCCAATGACTGGTGCGATCCAATGGAACTTTGGGTCCGCAGTCCATCCCATGATAAATTGGCCTGCGGAAAAGAGGACGGAACCGAGCATCATGGGCGGCAAGCGGGCTTCAGGAACGGCCCTGTCGCCAGCCGCATGATACACTTTGTTGTAGAGAATCTGATTGTAAGCGTTGATGCTGCATCCGATGATTGCGCCGACCAAGATGCCTAGGAAAGGCAGTGTAGCATTGACTGCAGGCCAGCCCCTTATTTCGCCAAAGATGATCGGGATGCCGCCAAGTTGCATGTACAAGATTCCGTAGCAGAAGCTCGCATAGAGCGCGACGAGGAAGCAAATCGGCGTGGTAAGCAGCTGTATTGGGCGAAGCAAGAACTTCTTCGAAAGCTCCTTGATACTGACATCCCATTCCTCGAACTTGGTATGCAACGCCCAGTTCCCCGTCTCATGTCGGAGGCGCCGCGCCTTGTACACAAGCAACTTGGGCGGATAGCATTCATCGATAAATACAACATCGATGACCAGCGTCGTCGCCTGCAGAATCCCCGTAAAATACTCCGTCCACCGCCATCCCAGTGACGGATCCGCCACAAATGCCGCAGACACAATAGGACCTAAACATGGGCCTCCGACGACTGCCATCGCATACCCTGCCATGGCCATGGCCCGCCACGCCGGACTATACAAGTCCCCCAGCACACCCCCCGTATTCGTCACGGGCGCGCTAGCAAAAAACGCTCCAAAAAACCGCGTAATCATCAGCGTCTGGAAATCTTTTGCTACCGCGCTGCCAAAGCTAAAACACATAGCTACGAACATTGGCGTGAGCACTGCGATCCGCCGGCCATACACTTCAGACAACGGTGCCCATAGCAGCGGGCCCAGACCAAATCCAAATAGGAAAATCGTAGTACCCAGCACGGCTACTTGGTTGCCTACATGAAACTCTGCGGCTATTTGTCGGGTGCCTGCAGAGTACGCGGATGAAGCCCAGGTTGCGCTCATGGTGGTGAAACCGTACATGAGTGTTGTCAGGACTTTCTTTTTCGTAGGCCAGTTGATGGGGCGGTAGGGGTCGTCTTCGCCGTCAAAGTCGACGAGGACATCTGCGGCTGTGGGTTGGTGTGCTAGTGGGTGCGTAAATGGTGCGATGTTTGGTCGGGTCCGGATTCGCGAGAGGATGGTGTCTCGACGGGATATTGTGCGATTTAGGCCAGTGCTTGTTGCTGGTCCTGTTCGTAGTTGGCTGCGTCGACTACGGGAGCGGGAAATGCTTTCTGCTAACTCTCTTCGTGTGGGTCGGTGTCCGTCGTTGTGGGGGTCGTACATGTCCCATTCAGTATCGGTGGATATGGTTGACATTGTTGATGCGCTTCTTCGTCTGGTCCTGGATTTTCTTCCGCTCTCGAGATCCATGCTTGCGCTGGATAGTGATGACGCAGTTTCGTCTCGAGATTTTTCTCTTTCAGGATCCATTGTATCAATCGTGTTATGCTATGGCGTATCACTGAAGATAGGAATTTAGGAATTCTATGTCTCTGATTCTACTCAATTGGTCTTGTTATAAGCAGCGATGGGTGAATAATCGAGCACCCAGCCCACAATTTATCATCCATGACCGAGATTCTCGCCATCAACGGACATAGACATCTCGGGTAAGTGTGACGTCAATTCCGCTTGCTAATCTGTTGGTCTAGCCTGAGCTGGTATAGTATCTTCATGACCATTCGCGTCGCCGTTATTTCCGTCAGGCTCGGAAAATTCTCCAGGATATGTAACTCGTAGACGTGCTCGTACGAAGATGAAGAAGAACAAATATTTCGGTATAGACGGAAAGGAGGGTTTCTAAGCAACGGAAAAGCAGTCTCTGGAAAGTAGTACTTGTGGAGAAGCAGTCCTTACTACGGAAAAGTAGTCGCTGGAGAGTAAATATTGACAACCATCATACCTTGAACGCTGCATACTTCACTTGGAAGCCCGAATCCGGTCAAAATAAGATATGTGTATTGAAAATGATAGATCCAAACACCCCTCAGCAGAAAAGATAACACAAGTCCGTGCTGGCAGTGTTCGCGCCACAACACCAAAATGACGTAACCTTGATAGTTCCAAACATCTTTTCAGCTGTGTATCTCGACCAAACTCAATCGTCTCAAACAATGTTCTATGTAAATAACTTCTTCACTTTCAGAGAAGCGACCACACGGGTCGCATGCTGATACTCCAATGTGTGCTCGATTTTTTAAAGCTATTGGTCAGCGCGGTGATAGGCTCAAGTTAGACACAGCAAAAGCGCAATGCTCCACAGACTACTCGAACGAAAAAGTCACCACATATAAAACAACAGATATCGCATTCCGGTAGTAGTACTAGTAATACTATCGATTCACACAAAGTCTTACCCCACATCCTTCCTACTACTCACAATCCCCCTCACAAAGCCCCCGGCGAACTCGCCACAATCTGCGCCGCAACCTCACAATCCTCACCCTGGGGCACCACGGCCCCATAGCCCACATTCTGCGCACAAGCCGTAAACCCATACACGCCCTTGTAAAACCCACTACCATCTGGACTCGCCCTCTGCAGCACCGCCGTCAACGGATCCACACTCGCCGACGGCCCCAACGTCACATTGCCCGTCCGGTACGTCGGCACCGCCGTGGCATTCGTAAAGTAAAACGTGCTCCTCTGGCATTTGGGGTTCAGCAAACTTTGCGTATTGGCCAGGATCCAGGGCTGATTCAAGATGCGTTTCCACTGCGCCAGTGTGTATCGTGGTGACGCTTGGTTGGGCTCGTTGACGAACTTTAGGTCGATGGCTTCGGAGTAGATGCCGGGTCCGCTGGCCGGGTTGGGGGCTTGTGCCCATTTGGAGTTTATGCCCAAGGAGCCGTCTGAGTAGGATTGGAAGGGCGAGGAGATGGGGATGAAGGCGCCGATGCGGAAGAGGATGCCTGCTATGGTTGCTGTTGGGGTGCGAGTTAGTAAGGTGGGGATGGAGAGGAAGAGAGAAGAGGAAGGGGGGGGCAGATGGGGAAGCGTACCGACTACGGAAGGAATGATGCCGGCGACGTAGGCTTGGGTGACGTCGTCGACGCCTGCGATGTAGTTTACGAGGGGTACGCTTAGGGGGGTTTGGGAAGACCCGATTCCGACGTAGGGGATTAGGGAGCCCGCGAACATTAGGCCTGTGGCGATTTGGAAGCTGTCTTGTCGGATGTCGTTGGTCATGCCGGCTGAGGCGACGACTGGGTGCATTCCAGCGGGGAAGTTGAGGGATGCTGGGACAGGCAGGAGGTTTAGGCCGCCGAGGTTGAAGAGGGCGGGGAAGGCTTGTTGGAGGGCTTTTTTGACCTCTTCTTTGGGGACGGGGACGAGGAACCAGTCTGAGGATGTGTTAAATTTTGCTGTTCTTGGATATGACGTGGAGACTACGAACTGTTTGTGAATGACTGTGTCCGATCCTGTGGGTTGTAAATAGCGACTTCATTCGGACATATGGCGCTCTGTCCCGCAACGAGACTCGCAGCCGCAAGCAAGATCTGGAGGAACCGTGCCATGTTCTCTCTACTTGGTCTTGTTTTTGATCTGAGATGCCAAATTGTGAAAAAAAGCGCATCGGGCTCCCCCCCTTAATATACCCCCAAGCTACACTACAGCGCCGCCACCTTGCCCATCCCCATCTCCATCTCCATCTCCATCTCAGCTCAGCTGTTAGTACATCATCATGTGCAGAGCCCGTGCTCCATCACCGAACCAACCATCTTAGTCAAAAATAGTCCATCGATCGCGTCTGGCGCGGGCCCTCCCGAGCTTCTTCGTAGATTCGATCTACATCACGACTATCGATTGTGGCGCTCACCACACGGCCAATCCCCCTTGCTGTGAACCCGCCAGCCCATCATCGGTCACACGACTATCGAATAGCATCCTTCGATTTGATTCGGGTACGAGACCCGATCGTTGCTAGAACGGGGCGTTTTTTTTTAGTTTGGACTTCCACTGTCGTCGTTTGTACAACTACAGCTGAGCCGAACATCGTGATTCGCTTCTTCATTTACTTTCTCAACGCCACACGTTGAACCGAGATGTATTGTCTTGGCATTTGGGCGTCTCCCCTCCCGCATGTTTGTCCAGCTGTTGCGATTGGCGCATTGTTATTGCACCACAGATCTTGCAGCCATCTTTGTACCTCCGCGTGGTCGTGCGCCATGTGCGGGATGGAGGGGGGGAGCATCTGAACCTTAGATTAGACTAGACCGAAAGTATGCGATGAACTATTACGAACGGTGAATGTAAGAAGATGGCTTTTTTTGCATCACAAGGCACATTTTCTGCTTCCTTGCGCGTGTTCGAACTACTCTGCGAGGTTAGGAGTATGGCTTGTTTTATTTGTGAAACGGGGTGGTGAGAGGCTGTTTGTGGAGTTAGGCATCCAGAGTTTCGAGGTCACATTGTGATTGTATACTATCATCTTGTGTTTTGTTGGTCGGCTAATAATAGGTTGGAGTCGCCTGTATTCGCGTATGGGGGAAAAGAACATATGGGGCTTGGGAGGGCTGTGTTGGGTAATCGGTGAGGCCAGTGCCTTTGGTGTAAAGTGTTTTGCGATAGAGGAAGGTGAGAGGATTTAATGAGATTATTATGCTGCGTTGGAGGTATGGAGCAGAGAGCTGTTGGTATAAATTGTTGGTGAGGAGTATGTGTGGTATCCAGTTGGCTAAAGAAGATTACTTATGATAGGAGGCAGTGTTGGATCGGAATATAGAAATAGTATGATATTTCAATAGTCATCTAGTTTCATGTGGCATCGTAATGAAGACGTTGAAACGTGGGTGGGTGGGTGGTAGTCTTGGAAGTGTATCCAGCAAAAGACTTAGTGGGGATTGATACACAGTGGGTCTGATAGGAGAGGATGCACATGTAATTCCTGTCGTTGGTCTTGTACTCACTGCTTCCGATATGCCTTTCGCACTAAAGGGTTCGTTCTGTTGACATACGCGCCAGTGTGCCACTTACAATTCCTATGGCGCATCTTTTCCCCTTGAGCGAACTCGAACATGTAAAAAGAGGGGTAGCGAGATGTTGCTGGTTCATAGAAGCATGGCCATGATTACCAAAAAAGAAACCATGAGTAGGTAGGGTGGATGATGAAGAGCAAAAAAAGAACGTACAAGCCCGACGTGGGGGTCGAACCCACAACCTTGAGATGTACTGAGTAATCGTGTCTGTTAGACCGTGAAAGACTAAGAGTCTCACGCTCTACCGATTGAGCTAGCCGGGCTATTGCTGTTTTCGATGGAGGAAATGAGAGATAGATTGAATATGTAGCAACGAGTTATGTAAAAGCGTCTGCACAGCCAAAAAAAGAAACCATGTGCGCTGTCAAGAGCAGGTATGCAGGGTACGGTGGGGAAGAAAATTCTGGCCACGGAACGTGAAGATTGGCGCTAGCGGATGGCGAACCATGGGAGGGTTCGGCAGATAGTCAGTCATTGCAGGCGAGAGAGATGCCAAGCAAGATGGAGATGAGATGTATCTGTGCATGCAAGTAAGAGGGTCTTGCAGTTTGTAGCAATAGTGAAGACTTGCATAGCGGGAATAATACGCAGGGCCCAGGCAGTGCTGAGGCTATGTAGGTACTTGGGTGGGCATAGGTGAGATGTGGTCTTATGGGCCAATAGTGGATGCCTCTCTTGCGAGGTACGTACCGCTACCTATTTTAAGAGTCGCCAGCGCCACCAGGGTACCGTTACGAGATGGCGGACCAGCTCAACTTGGCAACACAGGCCCTGGTACAAACAATCTGTCAGTACACATGTCTAGAATGCCAGCTTTGACGATGCGCACACCGAGGGTTGACATTGCTGCGATACGGCGCGCTCGGATCGTGGTTCTCGGCATGTCCAAGAGGCCGCAGCACAGTGCATACGTGAGTTAAATTGGGATGCGCCCGCAGTCGACGACGCAGGGCAGAGGCCGCAGCAACGAAGTTTATACTGGATTGGTTTCAATACCCATGGCGGGCCAACATGCTTGGTGTCTCAAAGTCGGATCATGGCCCTGCACTCCAGCAAGACAGATGCCGTACATATATTTATGTCCATACATACATGCATGTTCGATAGTTTGCATTTGATTGATGAGACCAGTGTACTCTAGGATCGAGCAAGTATAGAGAGAGAGAGGGAGAGAGCTTGCTTGGCGCAACGTCAGTGTGCTCCACCTAATGTCTTTCCCAATAGCGGCGCCGCGTAATGGCCCTGGACAGGAGCAGGACGTCGAGGAGCAGGACGTCGAGGAGCAGACAGTCGCACGCGTCCAGGTCGACTCGGCGCAATTTGGAGACTTGGTCGAGGGGGGCGAGCAGTGTATCATTCGCTCCAAGGTGGATACATACATGGAGACACCAGGGGCGCGGCTGCAGCAGCTTGCCCAGGGGAGCAGGGAAGCAGTGCTATGTACGTACACTCTAGGCACTGCCACTGCCACGGCCTCTGCCTCTGCCTCTGCCTCTGTCTCTGCCTCGCTCCTCGCTCCTCGCTCCTCGCTCAGCACCCGGGGCCCGTGCCTACACATCTTTCGACGACGACACTCGCACCCAGCCCACACAGTAAGGCCAGACACCTGCACCCTGAACCCGTCATCCTGCTGCACCACTCCATAGCCCGCTGCCAGCTCCCTCTGTTGCGCGTCGCATCTGCTTTCCCACACCCGCCCTTTCGCTCACACACGCATTCTCTCTCACACACACTCCTGATACACGAACCGCCGGCCAACGCGGAGGTGCGACTACCACTGTACTATTTTCAGCGCCCACCTCTCCGCCCGTGGCCGCAATCAACACTCCCCCACGCACCCACACGCACCCACACACCCACGCACACACACTCTCTCTCTTCTCCCCACGACACGGCGACAGACAGCGGCGGCTCTTCGATGCATTAGCAGAGCAGACGCGCTGAGCGGACCCAGGACGCCCAAGACGACAGACGGCCGCCATGGCCAGCAGGCCGCCAGGTGGACCGCCTCATAGCGACAATCTCATTGACTTTGACGACCACCAGCCCGCATACAATTCGGGCGCACCGCCCCCCACCGGCGACCACAACCTCCTGCACCGCTACGACATTGACGCTTCAGACGCCCCGCCACAAGGCCGGCCCTCGGTCTCGTATGATGACTTTGTCGGCGGTGGCAGGACCACCCAGGGCCTGCCGGGCGGGCCAGGCGCTCCTCCTGCAGGCTCACCCTACGTGGGCGGAGGAAGCAACCCCAGGGCTTACTCGCAGACCTCGGACCTGAACAACTACCAGCGCTACTCTGATGCCGACATCCCCCACGACGACGACGCCTCGGCACAGGGCTACTACGCCTCCGGGGGCGCATACGACCAGGCCTCGCCAGGCGTCACCCGCGGCGGCTCCAAGAACGCCCACAACAGGAACAGCATCCTCAGCCTCGGCGGCGGCCTGACCGGACGTGTCAAGAACATGCTGGGCCGCGGCTCAGAGTACTCAGAAATGGACATGCCCTTGACCGAGAACGCCGCCCACCCGCAGCAGCCCGGCGCAAACGAGCCCGCCAGCGCCTACGATGACGGTTCATCCTCCAAGAAGAAGAAAAAAGGTCCCAGCAACTTCAAGTTTGGCTTTGGCGGAGGCGCACCCGACCCTTCGACCCTCGGCCCCCGCATCATCCACCTCAATAACCCGCCCGCAAACTCGGCCAACAAGTACGTCGACAACCACATCTCGACGTCCAAGTACAACGTTGTCACCTTCCTGCCAAAGTTTTTGTATGAGCAGTTTTCCAAATACGCCAATCTCTTCTTCTTGTTTACCGCCATCCTCCAACAGATTCCTGGCATCTCGCCCACCTCGCGATTCACCACAATCGTCCCGCTCTGCATTGTTTTATTCGTATCCGCCGTCAAGGAATACATTGAAGACTACCGGCGGAAACAGTCTGATTCGGAACTCAACAACTCAAAGGCTCAAGTTCTGAAGGGTTCTACCTTTGTAGACACCAAGTGGGTCAATGTCGCAGTGGGAGATATTGTGCGCGTTGAATCCGAGCAGCCCTTTCCTACCGATCTCGTCCTTCTCGCATCTTCCGAGCCCGAGGGTCTTTGCTACATCGAAACTGCCAACCTGGACGGCGAGACAAACCTCAAGATCAAGCAGGCTATTCCCGAGACTGCCGACTTTGTCAGTCCGGCAGAACTCGCAAGACTAGGCGGCAGAATCCGATCCGAACAACCCAACAGCAGTCTCTACACCTACGAAGCCACCTTGACCATTGCCGCAGGCGGAGGAGAGAAGGAGCTGCCTTTGGCACCCGATCAGCTACTGCTGCGTGGCGCTACGTTGCGAAATACACCCTGGATTCATGGCGTGGTCGTCTTTACCGGACATGAAACGAAGCTCATGAGGAACGCTACGGCTACGCCTATCAAGACCACGGCCGTAGAGAGGATGGTCAACAGGCAAATTCTTATGCTGGTGATAATCCTCATCTGTCTTAGCATCATTAGTTCCATCGGCGATGTCATCATACAATCTACTCGGGGAGGTAACCTCACCTACCTCTATCTCCCTGGTTTCAACGGTGCCAAGCAGTTCTTCCGTGACCTGCTGACCTACTGGGTCCTGTACTCCAACTTGGTTCCCATCTCGCTCTTCGTAACAATCGAAATCGTAAAGTACTACACTGGAAGTCTGATCGACTCTGACCTCGACATCTACTACGAACCAACCGACACACCTGCCAAATGCCGAACTTCGTCTCTCGTCGAAGAACTCGGCCAGATCGAGTACATCTTTTCTGACAAGACAGGGACATTGACATGTAACATGATGGAGTTCAAGCAGTCTACCATTGCCGGTATTCAGTATGCCGATGAGATTCCCGAAGACCGACGTGCGACAATGGAAGACGGGGTTGAGGTTGGGATTCACGACTTCAAGCAGCTCGAGCAGAACCGACAATCGCATCACAACAAGCACATCATTGACCAGTTCCTCACCCTTCTTGCGACATGCCATACCGTCATTCCCGAAATGAAAGGGGAAAAAGGCGCCATCAAGTACCAAGCTGCCTCTCCTGATGAGGGTGCTTTGGTTGAAGGCGCCGTGACTCTGGGTTACAGGTTCATTGCACGAAAACCGCGCGCTGTCATTATCGAGGTCGACGGCCGTCAACTGGAGTACGAACTCTTGGCTGTCTGTGAATTCAACTCGACAAGAAAGAGAATGTCTACCATCTTCCGCACGCCCCAAGGCAAGATTGTATGCTTTACCAAGGGTGCCGATACTGTCATCTTGGAGAGACTTTCAAAGGACAATCCGTATGTGGAGGCGACGCTGACACATCTGGAAGAATACGCATCCGAGGGTCTCCGCACTCTCTGTCTGGCCATGCGTGAGATTCCAGAGGACGAATTCCAAGAATGGTGGTCGATTTTCAACACTGCGCAGACAACCGTCAGTGGCAACCGTGCCGAAGAGCTGGACAAGGCCGCCGAACTCATTGAACATGACATGACTCTTCTAGGAGCAACTGCTATCGAGGACAAGCTGCAAGACGGTGTACCAGACACCATTGCGACTTTGCAATCCGCCGGCATCAAGGTCTGGGTCCTGACTGGCGATCGCCAAGAGACTGCCATTAACATCGGCATGAGCTGCAAGCTGATTAGCGAGGACATGAGTCTTCTGATCATCAACGAGGAAAACAAGGAAGCCACGCGAGACAACATCCGCAAAAAGTACCAAGCCATTACTAGTCAGAGTCAAGGCGGGGCCGAAATGGATGTCCTCGCTCTGGTCATTGACGGCAAATCACTCACCTACGCCCTTGAACGCGATCTCGAAAAGGAATTCCTGGATCTCGCCGTCAGATGCAAGGCTGTCATCTGCTGCCGTGTCTCTCCCCTCCAAAAGGCTCTCGTCGTCAAGCTCGTCAAGCGCCATCTCAAGTCGATTCTGTTGGCCATTGGTGATGGAGCTAACGACGTTTCTATGATCCAGGCAGCCCACGTTGGTGTTGGTATCAGCGGTGTCGAAGGTCTCCAGGCAGCTCGTAGTGCAGATATTGCCATTGGTCAATTCCGCTACCTCCGCAAGCTTCTGCTCGTCCACGGTGCATGGAGTTACCAGCGTGTCAGCAAGGTCATTCTATACTCTTTCTACAAGAACATTGCCATGTTCATGACACAGTTCTGGTACTCTTTCCAAAACGGCTTTTCCGGACAGATCATCTACGAGTCGTGGACCCTTACCTTCTACAACGTCTTCTTCACCGCAGCGCCGCCTTTTGTGCTTGGTATTTTTGACCAGTTTGTGAGTGCAAGATTGTTGGACCGATACCCGCAACTCTACCGCCTTAGTCAGTCGGGTGTGTTCTTCAGGATGCACTCGTTCTGGTCTTGGGTCGGCAACGGCTTCTACCACTCGCTCATTCTCTACTTTGGCGCCCAGGCCTTCACCATCCGGGACTGGCCGCAGTGGGATGGCCGCAATGCCGGTCATTGGGTCTGGGGTACGGCAGCTTACACTGCTAATCTTGCAACTGTGCTACTCAAAGCCTCGCTCATTACCAACATCTGGACAAAGTACACTGTGCTGGCTATCCCAGGTTCGATGCTTCTCTGGTTCATCCTTATGCCCATCTATGCCATTGTAGCGCCCAAGGCCGGCATCTCGCACGAGTTTGTTGGTGTCATTGAGCGACTCTTCCCCGACCCGCGATTCTGGGCCATGCTGGTGGTACTACCGCCGCTTTGCTTGATCCGAGACTTTGCGTGGAAGTACGCAAAGAGGATGTACTTTCCGCAGAGCTACCACCACGTTCAAGAAATTCAAAAGTACAACATTCAGGATTATCGACCACGGTACGTCACCCTGTATTTGCTTTGGTACGAATGAAGACATACTAATACATGGACAGAATGGAACAGTTTCAGAAAGCCATCCGAAAGGTACGACAGGTACAGCGTATGCGCAAACAGCGAGGCTATGCATTCTCGCAGACGGACGAGTCGCAGGCGAGGGTCCTACAAGCATACGATACGACACAACAGAGAGGAAGATATGGAGAGATGGCGAGTTCGCGGAAATAGGGTGGGTATTTGCAGCGAAAGGGGCGCTTTGCCCCTCGGTGTTTGGTCTGGCGCATGACGGGCAAGGCGCGGAAGGAAAAAACATGTACGACTGCGTCCCGAATGGGCATGACGTCTCTTAGTATGAATAGTGTATTGTTATTGATGGTGGCGTCGGCCAACCAATGTTCTTGTTCCATTGCTTGAGTTGGAGGATGCGCTGTGGGGTGAGCAAGTACCATCTATCTCTGCAATGTTATCTTGAAGCCATGTCGACTGCAGCTTGAGCTGGACACCACGTGCACACGGAGACTCGTTGTATCGGGCGCTTAATAAGGAACACGGTGTCCCGAACCCCCAAAGGCGGAGTCTGCAGTGCTTGAGGCTTTGTCGATTGGCACGACATGGCCGTGGTGCCAAACAATTATCCGGTGCCTCGTTACTAACAGGTATTTTATCCGCCTACCGCGCAGTGGCAGGGCCGCATTGTGGAGCAAGAGGGGCACATGCTACCCCACCACGCAAAACTGCGGTCGCTCTGATATGCTGCCGCGCCCGTTTTTTACCACGCATACGTGCCATGATACGCTGCAGTTTGAGTTTGAGCAAGGTCCCTCGCGATACCAGTCTGTTGAGAGAAGCCGCTATTTATCCTGGCCGTCGTAGAATTTGCCGGGCACCTGGGAGAGCAGGAGACAGACGGCGAGCCCGTCCAAAGTCACGCTTACACGAGACGACGTGTAGCTACCTGCTGCGCTGCTGAGTAGCCGTCATAAAGGCTACAGTGGTCCTGGCAGGGTAAAATGGCAGGCCTGCCGATGGCGAATGAGGGCTCGCAAAAGCAAAGCAAAGGCATGGTTAACCCAGTCGTCCGGGTGAAGACGCAGGGTCATTTGGCTCAAACTAGCCTCTGAGACGGCGTTATATAGACGGCAGGCTGTTTGTTGTGCCTGGGGGGGGCAGAATGGTCTGAAGTTCCGTCTGCAAAATACACGTTTGATATCACGAAGCCATGATTGCTAGACCCATTTGCCGTGCCGGTAGTATTAATACGCTGCGTTGCGCCGCTGCCTTCTCCACTGCTTCTACTCCTCGTCTCTTCACATCTCTCTCCTCGTCTTCTTCTTCTGCTTTGTTGTCGTTGTCGTCGTCAATCAAGACCCGCTGCATTGCCCCTCGAGCGCATACCGTACCAGCTTTCAAGACTAGACTTGCCAACCCCAGCTTTTTCGCTACAATGGCTTCAAACGTCCCTTTCGTTACCCTCAACGATGGCAACAAGATGCCCCAGGTCGGCTTTGGACTGTGGAAGGTCGACAATGCCACTTGTGCTGATACTGTTTACAACGCCATCAAGGCTGGCTACAGGCTGTTTGACGGTGCATGCGGTACGTAAATTCGTGTTGAGCACACCATATCTTTTTTTTCTCTCTGCTCTCTTTCTTCTTCCTGTAACCCCACCATCTGGCAAATGGTCAGCAGAATTGGTGCCTGTTACCGCGAGACGCCCCGAATTACCGGTGGCTGCTGTACATGCTTGGCCCTGCATCGGAATGCTAGCGTCATCCATCGGAACGAAGCCCGAGCCTCCTCACGTGCTCCTGCAACCCATACTGACGATTCAATCTTGAACAGACTACGGCAACGAAGTCGAGTGCGGCCAGGGCGTGGCCCGCGCCATAAAGGAGGGCCTCGTAAAGCGTGAGGACCTCTTCATCGTCAGCAAGCTCTGGCAAACCTTCCACGACCGCGAGCAAGTCGAGCCCATTGTCCGCAAGCAACTTGCCGACTGGGGCGTTGACTACTTCGACCTCTACCTCATCCACTTCCCCGTCGCCCTCAAATACGTCGACCCCAAGGTTCGCTACCCACCAGGCTGGTACTACGATGGCGAGAGCAAGATCGAGCACAGCAACGCCAGCCTACAAAGCACATGGGAAGCCTTTGAAGACATCAAGAGCAAGGGCCTCGCAAAGAGCATTGGTGTAAGCAACTACAGCGGCGCCCTCCTCCTTGACCTCTTCACCTACGCCAAGGTCAAGCCCGCTACCCTCCAGATCGAACACCACCCTTACTATGTCCAACCCCACCTCATTGAGCTCGCCCGCCAGCACGACATCAAGGTCACCGCCTACTCGTCGTTCGGCCCCCAGAGCTTCCTCGAGTGTGACATGAAGGTTGCCGCCGACACACCTCTTCTATTCGACCACCCCGTCATCAAGAAGATTGCAGAGGCTCACGGCAAGACTCCCGCACAGGTTCTTCTCCGCTGGTCCACTCAGCGCGGTCTGAGTGTTATCCCCAAGTCCAACTCGCCAAACCGCCTGGCGCAAAACTTGGATGTTACCAGCTTTGATCTCAAGGACAGTGAGATTGAGGAGATTTCAGGTCTGGACAAGAACCTCAAGTTCAATGCTCCTACCAACGTACGTTTTATATCCTTGCGAGTTATCAACGAAGGTGTTGGCTAACATGTTTATAATAGTACGGTATCCCTTGCTACGTCTTTGCATAGACGGGATAAGTCGATGAACTCTTTTTGCTGTTTTTCTTTTCACGGAACGTTTTTACGAATTATTCGATGAACTCAACATCGAAAGGATGATGGGTATGAATATGAATCAGGTAGGATATTAAGTATATATCAACACGAAATAAAATACAAGTGCTCAATCAACCAACGCAAGTGTCGCATCCCCTGACTTAACGACTACTATTGACGTGATATGAAAATAGTAGCAATAATTAAACAAAGTCGCCTATGCACTTCTTCCACTTCTGTTCTTTTGTTTTTGTTGTTTTATCGACGTCATAATCACATGTCCCACTCCCCAATCGGCACCTATTCGGCAAACTATACTAGCTGCTAGCAATAGCTGACTATTTCATGTCTACACGTAACGAAAACCCCAAAAGCTTCGACCAATGACGCCATGACTGCTTGGTCTCCGAGGAAGATCGAAGCTAGCCACTGTAGCTGCAAACTTTACTTTAGACATGCAGCATGGCATTTTGTCATTTCACCATAACAAGAGTACCCAATCTAAAATGCCACGTGACGCCGGCTTCTTTTGTGGGTATGGTACTACGGTGACATCGCGATCTGTACGAAATAACGTGAAACTCACGTGTTCGCACCCAGTAAATCATCACTTTTTCCTTCGGAGCAAAACCACGCCGCTTATCTCCGTCCACTCCCCCTTAGCAGACCCTTCACACGTGTGAGCAACGTGCCGTGATGATGCGAAGCAAGGATAACCACTCTCCCCTCAACCCCCCTCATTCACATGAACTAAAAGTCCCAGGACTATGCAAGTAGTGGAAGGAACCATAATTCCCCGCTTCCTGCCCATCCTAGCTCAGTTTATCTATCTGACACACACACACGGAAGATGGTATCTGCGTATCTACCATTTACTAGATAAAAAAAAAAGGTCGTGCAAGTCGGGTATTTTCCAAATACCAACCCCCGACCCATATCCGATACCCGATCCCCGATCGCGTGACACACATCACACACATCCGCCCTTCCACCCTTTTTAGTCCGAAGCCTCAAACCCTCACCTCCTCTCACCCCAAAGAAACAGCCAAGCCCCAACACCCACACACCCACACACATTCACTGCAACTCTCGTCCGCTTAGCTCCGAGCGCAAGAAAGAAGGGAAGGTGGAAAGTGCAGATCAAGGCTTAATAATAATGAAATCGGCCTCAGATTCCGAAAGAGAGAAAAAAAACCCCCGAGATGCTGTTTTGCATGTGCATGCAAACCATGGCCCCCGGATGCGCGGCTGCGTGTGCAGTGCCGGTGGTGGTGCTGGCTGGCTGGCTGGCGGTAGTTCATTCGATAGGACAGGGTTATTTGGGCGAAAAAGTCAGGTTAGAGTGATACATGCCAAACTCGCTTCATATATGTATAAATCCTTTTTTTTTGAATTATCCATACACTTCATTTAATATCTTAACAAAACTTGCCCACATGTCAAAATAAAGCAGTGAACAAGATAACATGTAAAGAAAGAAAAAACGGTGACATCACCGCTATCCCACCCCCTCCTTTCAACTCTCTAGTTTACAATAATGTATGCGCTTTTCGCTTTTCGCTTTTCGCCGGAAGGGTGGGGTGGGGGGGAGAAGACGGAACAGCGGACAAGCTGGGCGGGCTTTTGCGCACGTCCATCCGCGCATCGCCGAAAAACAAAAAAAAGCTTGGTCATGTCAGGTTTAGGAAAGAGAGATAGATAGATAGAGAGAGAAGGAGAGAAAAAGAGAGAGAGAGAGAGACACACACACCCATACACACACATGCACATACAAGCGTCCCATTTCACCATTGGATGAATCAACTGGGCAAATATAACCCAGCCCCACCCTCTTTCCCAGTTAGATGGGAAACAATGTACATGAAGGATTTTCCGATTAGACAAGAGGGTTTCGTATCGAACACGGAATACGGGAGTCCCGCTTCGCGCGCGCGCACACCCCACCCCACCCCCCCTGTGGCGCGAGCGAGCAAGTGTGTGCGAGAGAGAGAGAGAGAGGGAGAGAGAGAGTCAGGCAGGGTAACGAACGAATAAAAAACTCATGACGTCGGTGTGTTGTTTTGGTTCTTTTGACTTTTTTTAGTCAACTTCAGCCTCATCTCTTTTGCCCTTTTCCCCCTCCCCAAATCTCCCCCAAATCTCCCCCAATCCTACCTTTTCTTTTAACGCCTTGAACAAAACCCCCGTGTATCGTCCGTTGTAGTGGTTTGTTACACATACTCTTTACCACCACCACTACTACTACTACGAAACCTCCCTATCAAACGTCTCATCCCATCTCTTCTTCAAAAAGGGGGTTTAAAAAAAAAGAGAGAGAGACACACAAAAAGGGAAACACAAGGAATAGCAGCACATACGCACAATACGCACTTGACACACATTACTCATCAGCCCTTTATATCCGAGAAGTCGTAAAACCAACATAATACCCCGGATTACTTACATATCCCGCCCACCCCCTCCGCCCTTCCGCTCACCTCATCCGCCGCTTCGATCCCGTTTTCTTATTTCCTTTTTTTTCCCCATTCCTTCCCTGCCGCTGAACCGGGGCGAAGAGAAAGAAAGAAAGGAAAACTGACGTCGACGAAACTGGTCTTTGCGCGCGCGTGAGCCTTTGTGGGTTTCCCTTGTTTCCTCGGGCGGGCCGTAAAGAGTTGTGTCTGTGTGTGTGGTGTGTCTTTGCTTTTTTTGTACCCCCGATTATAAACTTTGTTGAATATACGCGACCGTTTGTCTTTTGCGCGGACTGGTTTCCTCTCTTCCTCTTTTTTTTGTTTGCGATCTCCTCTCCTCCCCCTCTCGCGTCGTTTTTATCGCAACTGTGTCGCATTGCAAAGCGTCGTCGTTGTCTCGACAAAGGAAAGCGTTGCGACGCTGAAGGCAAAAAAAAAGCTGGACTTGAGAACTCAACACCACACACACACTCCATTTTGATAATGGCATCATCATCATCCAGCGAGCAGAGCCAAATGAGGTATGTTTTGTTGTTTTTTGCACTTGTCTGTCCTGGCGCAATTCTGACATGACATGTCCAACAGGTTCCTAGCCATCGTCCTCCCCGTGCTCACCTTTTGCGCACATGGCCTCCTCGCCATGTCCTTTGCGCTGCCCGGCTCGGATCTCGACGGCGCATACTTTCCCATCACCTACAACCTGCTTGCTTGCGGTGCAAGCATTCTCGGCTTGGTTGGCGCACTACGGGTAAGTCAGCAGCTTGTTTTCCTTGCCCCGCGTTTCGTGCGACGGACTCTCTGATCGTCCGGAACTACTGCGAGTCTTGTTTGTCATGACGCATGGGTGCTTACAATGCGATAACACAGGCACTGCCAAGTCTAGTGTCAGCTTACACCCTGCTGCACACAATGACTCTGTCATTTCTCACAATCGCAATCGTCAACATGGCCCTGCCCTGGGACTTCCGAACACTAAATCCGGTAACTCCGAGCTACACGGTTGACGAATCAGCCATATGCCGCGACATCGATGCCGGCTTTGGGTGGGACACCGAGTGGCTGGAACAGTGCACTAGGAGTCTTAGCACCGTCAAGTTTTGGTGTGCAGGCTTTAGCATGGTCTTGATTTTTGTGCAGTGGTGGGCTCTGATGAGTGTGCGGACGTGGGGGCAAGAGCAGCGAGCCTGGTCGCAGAGTACTCGTGGCGATGCGGAAAAGGCCGGGCTTGGGACCGACGAGAAGACGACAATTTATGACCAAAAGACTGGATTCTAAACGATATCAAATGAATTAAAGAGTACAAGCGCAGAAAGCGTGACATGATGCGGCTTGAAGGAGTTTCGTCGACATACGTGACCTGGCTGATGTTATGTGGATCGAATTGGCAGGTTGATTTCTGAAATCACGTGAAAGTCATCTAGAAGGGTCAGCTTGTTCAAGGGACTTCAACTTACACACAATCAGCGCAAAAGTGAGTGAAAACTTACCATCATCATCTACACAGGCTTCCCAAACCCATAGCTGACCGGCGTCACTACCAGCCAGCCCTGAAGCTTCTCTCCAAAAGAGAAATCTCTGGCACTCTTTGCTGTTGTTGAGATGGCGAGTATAGGTCCGGACTGCCCAGAAGCCACAACTATCACATGTTACAGCTTCATCTTGCCCAGCCCATGATGTTTCCACAATGCATACACATGTCGTCCTTGCAACTGGTCCATTTGTTTCTGCCGCTGTGGCCTGTGTGGATGACTCTTGCAAGTCTACTCACGTGCCAGGAGCAGATGTTGGATGGTAATTGGACTACGTCATGGGGCGTAGTGGTGAGCTTCATGGGAATGCATGCTGGACTGGTTGATGAGCTGAACATGGCAACAGGATAGGCAGAATTGCAGAGCCGACAGTGCTGTTGATCGGGCTTTCGTGGTGACGGGTTCAAATAGCTGTGTATTGCACGTCGTGCACAGGGCGAAAGGACATCCTGCCAACGGCGTGGGTCCAGGCGGATCATAGTGTTAAGCCGTGGAGCTGTGAGCTTGAGTGCCAGCAAAGCGTCCAGTGGCAGGAAATCGCAAATGTCCAGAATGAGCTCCGTGGGCAGGTCATGGAAGAATGTGGCATCCGAAGACATGGCGCGGCGCATATGCGGACAGAATGGAGGGTCTGGGCAGGTTTGTTCTGTCTCTTTGATAACGAAAAGGCATGGAAAGCAGGAGGTGCATTTTGCCGGTCGAGATCAAAGAGTCGGTCCTCCTGGCTATTTCTTCTGTTCCATTCATGTACGCCAGTGACGTTTGAGGGATTGTGAAGGGCAATCTAACAGCAAACCGAGCTCTTGTGCCAAAGGCTGAGGTGGTGGGGCCTTGAATTGCTGCATTGTTTTGCTTGATGCGGCCTTGTTCGATTTGGCGCACGGGCGATGAGGTTGCACGAGACGATGCGTGACGGCTTAAGAGGCTATGTATACGGGCGTTTGGCAAGAGACGAAGGGGGTGTGACTGGTGTCATGGGTGACGGTTGAGACAAACGGTTTGTGGCAGGCGCGTGGGGGCATGACGTTGGAGAGGGGCAGGGGCGACCCAAAAGCAAACATTTGGCCGAGACGATGGCGATGACGACGGCGTGGAAGGAGCGCAGTTGGTGGTGGGCGAGATGGAAGTCACGACTGTGGTAAAGTAGGTGTAGCAAAGGGAAGACAGGCTTTGGAAAGGTGGATAGGCGGGACAGGGGCAAAAGAAAGGATGCATGGTGAAGCACGGATTCCCGTGCCCCCAAACGTGTGTGACTACATACTACTAGATTCGAGAATACTTGTTAGTGGTGGTAGCGTAACGGCAGGGCACGTAGGCGAGCTACAAAAGCTGGGGTAGGCGGGAGCGCATGTCTAGCCGAACAAAGCAAAAACTGCATGGTATTGCGGCATTTGTGGGTAGTGGTCATATAGTGTTGCGTGCTTGTGCTGTGTGTCTGGGTGCGTATATAGATAGTACAGATGAGAGATATTTCATGTGTGTGTGTGTGTGTGCTATTCAAGCACATGGTGGAGCCCACCCACACAGCCAAATTGCCGGCACCATGTTCCGACAACGGTCGCTCGCTGCTCGTCGCATGCCGACGTCCTGTTCCCACATGCACAAGTGGGCGTGTAGTGCATGGCGAAGCGCTCTAAGCGCGGACTGGCAGCCTTTTGCGGCAACAGGGCCGGCGGCAGCTGGGCAGCTGGGCAGCTGGGCAGCCATGTCGTGATGGGCCATGGCCATGGACGATGGATGGGTGGACGACGGGCGGACGGCGGGCTCGATGGGTGGGAGTGCGGAGGAGTCAGCCACAAGTTGATATTTTCGCAGGCGCCTGTCGTTGCCGGGTGCTCATTGGAGAGTGTGGCACGCTGCTCATTGCATGCCCCGCATCGTGCAGCCCAAGCCCGTTCGTTCGCAGTCGGCCATAGATGGCCATGGGGTCAGATGCATGGCCCAGCACGGCACCCTCTCGTCCTCGTCCTCGCCCTCGCCCTCGCCCTTATCCTCACCATGCCCCCCGGGTTTCGCTAGACTCGGTGCTCTCGGTGCTCGTCGACATTCGAGAGCAGCGGCAAAGCAGGCATGTGCTTGTGGGCGGGCGGGCAGCTCCGTCGTCTGATGAGGGACCGAACAACGGTTCGCTAGGCGGGCTGCCAGCCTAAGCCACTATGTACTTATGTACGTATGTATCTAAAGTAAGTAGGTACCAAGTATGTCCATGTACCTCCGTCCATCCATACACCCTGTACAAACTACACTACACATGTATGCATGTCCCGCAGCAGCCCGCCATGGACGTCATGCACCCATGCGTCCGCCCACGCCGTCGCTGTACGAGAGAGCCCCGACGGGTTGCATCGAGGCCGCCGTTGGCCCAACTGCGCGTGCAAAGGCGGCATGGCATGGCATGCCTTGCCTTGCCTTGCCTCGACGACGGCCAGCTAACTGACTGCAGCTGCTGAGGCCCGTGTCTCGAGGCCGAGATGAATAAAGTGGATAGCTCTTCGCTCGGCCTGCTTAGCGCGAGTAGTCGAGCGTCCCCAGCATCCCCTTTCGACATAATCCTCACCCACGCCCGCGATATCTCCCGAGTCCCTCCTGACCCCTACCCACCCGCTCCCAGCTGTCCTTCACTCGCTGACTTCACCTTGCCCTCGGCTTAGTGGACAGCTGTCGCTCCTTTTGTCGCCTTCACCGTGAGTATGAGCCCACGACCCCTAGTCCCCACTAGGGCCTCCCCCTCAGTCTCCAAAACATGTGCCCTCTCCACCAAAATTTTCCGCTGCCCGCCTCGACTTGATCTCCCGCCCTCGCCCCCCCCTCGTGTCGCCTCAAACCCGACGACGCCAGTCCCACCCTCTTCTCCCCCCCCCCCCCAAGTCGACGCCAATTGCCTCCTGTGCCTGTTTTTCTGCCCCAAGCACACCTGCTCACCTGCTTCCTCACAGATCTCCTAGCCTCTCCACCGGCTCGGCGCTACTACTATCTCGAGTCTTCCATATCCGGCCACGAATATTCCCGCAACCACCATGTCCTACTACAACGACGCGTCGTGGAACGCACCAGCTCCTGGTCGACAGCCCTCGTGGGAGCAACCTCCCCCGCCCTCGCGATCAGGTACTACACCAATGCGCCCCGCCAGTCACAGTGCATCCATTCACCCAGATGTAGGCACTAGCTCCACCGTCAACAGCGAAGTCGCCAATGCCTACGCTTCTCAGTTCGAGGGTACGTTGCATGTCCTCTGTCTTGCGCCAGTGTCGTCTGTCAGTGCCATGTTTGGCGTCCAATACACCAATCATGGCAGTGACAAGACACACTATCTTTTGTACATACTTTTGGTACGCTTACACTGACACCATCACAGAGGTCGACCGTGCCATTGAAAATCTCGCTAAGAGCGGCAAGCCCTTTGGCCCCGGATTCCCTCCCACGCCCATGGGCGCTGCCCGCCGTGAGTCCATGCCCATGATGGGAGGCGGTCCTCGCCCATACCCCGATTATGGTATGCATTCCCGTATACACACGTACACCCATACACACACACACATACACACACATACACACACATCACCAATGCATACTAACATACACACCACAGACCAGCAGCGCATGGGCGGTCCTCAGCGCCACCACTCAGTCAGCGAGTACGACGGCTCCCGCTCCCACTCGGCTTCCAATGTACAGGGCTTCTACCAGAACCAGCGCTATGCGCCCAGACCCAACGATGCGGACCAGATGGCACAGGCGAAGCGACGGATGGCAGCCCAGCGAGAGCGTGAGCTGCGCAACTATCACCAGGAGCAGCAATATCACAGAAGTAAGGACTCGGAATCTGGGCAACAATAGAAGCAGGACAGACAGTTGACTTAGGGTAATACAGACGTTTCGGGCTCAGGCTCCAAGTCGGACCGCTCCATGAGCCCCAATGCCATGAATGAAGACGAGCGCCGCGAACTCATCGCCCGCCAGCACCGTGCTTTGTATGGCGAGACCTCTACTCTGTACAACAACAACCCAACCTCGAGCCAGGACGTTCGCGTTCAGACTTCGAGTGCCGGACGCGGGCCGTCTCCCCTCGCTTTTGACCCTTTCGGCATGCAGGCCCAGAATGCTGCGGGCGAGGGCTCTGTTCAGATGCCGCCCCGGGACAAGGATGCGGCCAGTAGCGCCCAGGACGCCCGTGCCAATAGCACCTCGTCCCCCTCGACTACACAGGCCCCCGCATTCAATCTGTTCGAGGCACAACAGGCCAACCGTACCTCCAACTCGTCGCCCGGCGGCTCACCACCCGTGCCAGGACAAAAGGCCAACGGTTCCGGCGTCGCCCCCATCGGCACCCGTCCCCAGAACCAGAACCTTCAGCAGCCTGCCGGTGCTGCCATGGGCAAGCGCACAAACTCGCCTCTGCCGTCGCCTCTGGGCTACAACTCGTACAATGCAAGCGAGCAGAATAATGCAGCTGCTACTACATCTGCTTCTATGAATCCCTCTTCGACTGTTACGGACAAGGGAGTTGGTATTTGGAACAATGGCCCCTGGAGCAACACGCCCACGCAGGGCGTGCAGGCGTCGGTCTGGGGCTAGAAAATGGAGTTTTGTTTAGGGAGATACGATGCACATCCGGAGTTACTGCATTTCAGGTGTCTCAGGCATACCAAGCCGGTCTTTGAAGTACTAGCTTGGGCGGAGCAGGTCAATGGGAAAGGTCGGCGAATATTTCGTGTGGGTTCGAGGTGCACCAGACGCATGCCTCTGTACTTGTTGGGGTCTTGCTGGAGATGATATACCTTTTCACGAGTGGGTACAGGTGTTTGCTGCCAGGGTTCACGGATTGGCATTGGTTCATGGGGGACTTGCGGGAGTTTTGTCAAAGGTTGTCTTGCTGTTATCGGTTGCTAGCTTTTCGGATCGGGTCAAGAGCCTCTACATCGACGAGCGACAGCCACGACGCTGCCTCGATCATCTTGGGAGGTTATGAGGGCTGGTACATTTAACGGAACTGCGTAATGGGAAAAGGTGGTTTGGGAAACGACTTGGTCTTTTCTTTTTCTTTTTTCCTGTGAGCTATAATACATTACATTTGGCTCTGGAGGTTGCTATTTTTCCACAATACGGCCGCCGGTCCGGGCGAATGGCTGTAACGCGATATGAGGAAGCGAAGTGAACACAACACGTGACCCTTGCTAGCGTAGTCGCAAGCGAGATCAGGGTTAGCGCGCCGCGGCAACCCCAGCTCCAGAATCGTGGCCTTTGGGTGCTGTTTGAGTGACTATCGCCTGTAGCCTCCCACGACCTTTCCATCATCCACCTTCTGTCCATCTCGCACCGGTTGCCGTTCAAATCGCCCATCATGGTCAGTCATCCCCCTCGCGAGCGCACCCCAAGCCATTGGACAATGAAGAAGCAGCCCCATTGCTTGCAAGACAGGAGCATGCGACAGGTGTAGACGACAAGGTGTTGCAAGTGAGGGTTGAGAGAGCAATTGTTCTACTCGACCTTTCAGCAACCTACGTCTGCTTCTTTGCTCTCCTGGAAATGCAAGCAGTGCCTTCTACAAGACGTTCATACGCCGACCAAACCTCAGCATGCCTCAACATATTCACTAACTGGAATAACAGTCTGCCCCACGCGCCACCTCACCGAACGCGGCCTCTTCAGGCTCAACAACCGCACGCCCTGCTTCGCCAAAGCCCCCAGGTGGCCCTGCGACCGTTATGCGAAGGAAGGCAGCTGCCGACCGCGCTGAGAAGACCGCCAACCTGCGACCAAGCAGCACAAGGGCCGCCGGTGCTGGAGGCAGCTCAAGCACCATGCTGAGTAAGTACTCACTCGACTGGCAGTAGGATGGGAAGAAACCAAGAAATTGGAAAATGTATCAACTTCAACTTCACGTCTACAGTGGGGAGATGCTTGAAATAGCGCAAAGAGGAAACATCACCCTTGAACTCTGCTAACATACTTGTTCAGGGCTGTACACCGATGAGTCCCCCGGACTGAAGGTTGATCCTGTTGTTGTCATGACCCTGTCTGTTGTCTTCATCTTCAGCGTTGTTGCTCTCCATGGTACGTATTCTTGTATGCCTATATAAAGACCACATCTAATCAATAGCAGTCATCGCCAAGGTTATGCGCCGATTCTCCGCATAAGCAAGCGTATTGAATTACAACTTCTCTTACCCTTTATAAATTTTCCGTTCCAGGTGGCCGCTACCCAGTGGTAACCTTTGCAAGATTCCCCTCGATGTGCGATTAGCCGTGTCCGATTCTCCATGACTGTATTTGGACAAGAGGCAGAGGTATATGGCGCATGAAACAATTGGAAAAGCACTATTTCCCATGATATCAATGCGAATACTAGGGGCGAGCATGACTGTGGGGAGCACGGGTAATCAGGACACTGCTCGTTTTGCTTGGTGTATAATAGGTTTTCGCATAGGAATGAGGAGTTTTGTTTGCTGTTTGCGTTTCCACTTTGAAGTGACTTTTACGAGTAACAACAGCAGGTGACTTGCACTTTAGATTATGCCATTGATCAGATTTTGTCTATTTACGAAGGAATATGTACACGGTCCTTTGTTGGAGGTCTACTTTTGGGTTATCTTAGGCATCGTGGGATCGTCGTCTGTGCGTAGCCTTGCTGGACCAAGTCCGGCTTGGTTCCTACAGTGCCGCACGCAAAATTATACAAGGGGTATTGTTGCACTCGTCCAAATAACGCCTACACTATTCGGCTTGCCCTATCCACCTCAATCTTGAACTCTTTTTTCTTGCCAATAACCAGGTGCGGTCGTCGGGCGCCATTTGCTCCAGAGCTTGTGTACGGTTCTTCTAGAGGGAAACTTGGACTCCGTTCCCCGACCCATACTTCAGCCTCGTGGCCGCGGTATATATGGGTGGGGCGAAAGTGCTCGTCGGCCGTCAACATGACCGGCGCATTGGGCGGGAGACTTTCTGATTGCCGTAGCTCTCCTCCAGACGATGAGCGGCGATGGTCGGGCACAGTTCGCTTACTGCCACTGCGCGAGGGCATATCATTCATCAAATACGACTCTGAAATGTTGTCTTGGTTTTTCCGCGGCATGATACGGCGAGGCGGCAGAACAGAACTTGCGCTCGAGCTTGTCGTCATGTGCTGGCTCGCCGAGCGATGCGAGCTGCTGTGGTTGTAGTGCTTGTAGCTCTCGACGTACTCGCTGTCGAAGGGCTTGAGGAACGGGCCCAGACCCGTGATGGTACAACTCATGATGGCGTAGCCCATTTGCCACTGTGTGGCCACAAGGTAGTCGAACGTGTACGACCCAGCTATGCGGTCACGCAGAAAGTACAGCCGGACAGCTGCGATTGCGATGACAGGGAGACGCGCGCTGAATGCAAATACGACCAGGGCTTTTGCGCAGCGTCGCATATGCAGGAAGTGGACTAGAAGCACTGCTAAGGTGAAGATGAAGAATTCGGTTGCCATATCAAGAATGCCGATTGAGAGCCATTTGGACCACTTGTACCGATACAGTCAGTCATTCTGTTTTTTGATTTTTTTGAGTGGAGGCGACTGAGGAAATACATACCCGATTATTGCAGTTGGTGTGATTTAGGATTGTCTGTGTTGGATTACACGGTACAGAGACCAGTACGACAGATATTACGACCCATATGCAGGATAAAGCCACGGTCGCCCATACTGCGATGCGATGCGAGCCTCCGGGCGATATCCGTAGGTGGAGGAAGAGAATGGATAGTTTGGAGGCCAAGATCACAAAGATGTACAGAAGCTGACTTGCGAAACCTTCCTATTCAGACCGTTAGACGTTGCTTCTGTGGAGCCCAGTGCAGCACATCCTGGTGCGGATCCAGCACAAGTCTAGAAGTTGGGGGGGGGGCCGACTTACTTTACCCAGTTGCTCGAGTTGCGGTAACGGTATGTTGTCCTGAGATGCGCCCAAGCCCAGGGTAACAAGGTGCAAAATGATGCCTGTTTGAACCGTGTCAAGCAGCGTCGCTGCCGCAAGCCACCAGTCTAAAAAAGCGAATTTTCAGCATGCGCTACATCTCTAGGATTTGGAAGGAGCAGGACGAAGTACTCACCATCTGATCTCCACTCTTTTAATCTCCATCGCAGCCAGACACGGATCAACGAGCAGCACCAGACAAAAGCCAACACCGAAGCGCCTGTCACGACAATCAGGCCGCGCTTGTCATTGGCGGTGATGACATAGGGCGGAGGAATAACATCTCCCGCCATGAAGAGCAGTGGCAAAGGAGATCAAGCGACAGCGGAAGTGAAAAGAGGCCATAGGATAGCTGTCATGGGACGTGACGCGACAGCGAAGGGATGCCTGGGAACTCTATAACTGACCCTTCTGCTGACAGCCGGGAGATCTCACAAAACCCCTCCAGGGCAACGATGGCAGTGCTCACCACACACACCACACTAGCGTGGCGACATGTCCCGCGGGTCAAACCCCCCCCCCTGGCTCCCTCATTGTCCTTCCGCCTTGCGAAGTGTGGCCCGGTCCCTCGTCGCTTATTACACCATTGGATCCAATTGTCATCATTCCGTGGCCTCGACGGCTCTGCTCAACGAAGCGAGCAAATGCCAAACACGCCACTAGCCATGTCCTAACGCAAAGCAGGCTTTCTGAGCGGGCGGGAGAGCGGTACAGTGGTGACGAATTGTACATGAGCGGAAACCTACCACCCCCATGGATATGTCCGCCGCTCCATGGTGCGGTTGAGCAGAGAAACGCCATATATAAGTATTCAGCCGCGGTCGAAGATTGCAGGTGGGTACGAAAGGAACATTCAAAGAAGCAAAGAAACCGGAGGATCGACGTATCGCGGTCCTATTATTTGTAGCCTACTGCAGATCGCCTTTTTCGTCGAAAAGAAAATTTCCCAAATGTCACTGTGCCGTGTCGTTAGTTCGGCCGATTTTTTCTTTATTTCTTTCAACTCCGTAATCTGCCGTCCAACCGCCTCGTTTCTTCGTAACTTACTCGATCCTACCGGGGCAACATGACCGCTACTTTTTGCTTATCAAATTTCCATTCGTCTCTCCTGCATATTTGCAGCGCCAAGCATCCCAGCCCCCGGATGAGGAAGCGGCCCGCGTGGTAGCAAGGTTTGCCAATAAAACGGACCGACTCGTCCTCGAACCATTCACCACGCTGCGCGCATCTGACAGCTCCGCCGCGGGGCTCCTGTTGGCTGGCCGGTCGCTCTTCTCCTTTGCGCCAATGCTCAACGTGCGGCCGGCCCTCCCCTCCCTTGTCCATACACATGTGCATACCAAGATGGCTCTCACGGCATTGGGTTCAAGGGCATTTCAGCCTAGCGAGCCCCACGCCCAGTGCTATAGGAGCGGCAGAGAGGCAAGCCACCGTTTTGATGGCGAAAGGGCCTAGGTCTGTCTCAGCGAGCAGCCAGCCCGTTTGTCAAACTAATGCGCTACCCAATCTGCCAGAACGTTTAGATCTCTTGTTTTTTTCCTTTTACTTCTTACCTACTTTCAACGTTTCGCGTGATTATTATTTTCCCGAGTCCCAGTCTCTCGGGATTTTCCTCCTCGGGATTCCTTGTTTTTTGATTCGCCTTTGTTTTTTTTCTTCATTCAAACCTTCCTCATATTTACATTAGCTTGTTTAAAAGGCCGTCGTGTTGGTCCCTTGGCGCCGCCGCTGGGAAACCCCGTTGTGCCAAAACCGCTAGTCATGGCTGCTTACCAGAACCAACCGCTCGGTGGCATGGACAAGCAGAATGCGCTCGAGTCGCGAGCGCATCGTCCTGGCTTTGCGGATGATGGCGAGAGCGAGGAGTATCATGATTCCCTGAGGGGACACACGAGGGCGGATCAGGCCGACATGTTGCGCATGGGCAAGGTGCAGGAGTTGAAGAGGAACTATCGGCCGCTTTCTGCACTGGCTTTTACGGTCATATTGCAGGGTACATGGGAGGTTCTCCTGACGTGAGTGACTATATGTAAGCGCTTTTAAGGACACAAGTTTGACAGTAGCAGTGCCACCTACCAAGGTCTCGTTGATGGAGGCCCAGCTGGCCTGATTTGGAGCTTCGTATGGACCTGGTTCGGCTTCAGCACCGTCATGTTATCGCTGGCTGAGATGGCATCCATGGCGCCAACAGCTGGCGGACAGTACCATTGGGTTTCGGAATTCTCGCCTCCAAGCGTCCAGAAGCCATTCAGCTACTTCATCGGATGGATGTCGACTCTGTCATGGCAAGCTGGTACCGCGTCCGGACCGTTTCTTGTGGGAACACTGATCCAGTCCTCGGCCATTGCCATGTATCCAGATTACTCTCCTACCAACTGGCAAGGAACACTCATGGTTATTGCCGTCACCCTCTTGGTCTGGGTACTGAACATTTGGGGCTCCAAGTTCATGCCCGTCTTCCAGAACATCATGTTGGTCATCCACGTATTCGGTTTCCTGGCCATTATCATTGTCTTCTGGGTCTTGTCACCACGAGCAACTGCCGAAGTGACATTTACACACTTTACCAACGGTGGCGGTTGGAGTTCGACTGGCCTGGCACTCATGGTAGGCCAGCTCTCCGCCATCTACGCCTGCATCTGTACGTTTAGCTCCAAGGTCAATCGCTTCTATGACAACACTAACGTTAAGTTACAGGCTCCGACTCCGCAGCCCACATGGCCGAAGAAATTAAAGACGCAGGTAAAACGGTTCCCCGCGCCATGATCGGCGCCTACATCATGAACGGCGCGCTTGGCGTCGTCTTCCTCATCAGCTACATGTTCATGATTACCGACGTCCAAGCCGCCCTCGACGACGCAACCGGCTACCCACACATGTGGGTTTTTGCCCAAGCCGTCTCCACTGGCGGCGTCATCGCCCTCAACGCCATCCCCACCGTCCTCATCTTCGCCGGAACCCTAACCTACAACCTCTCCACCTCCCGCCAGACCTGGGCTTTTGCACGCGACCGCGGTCTCCCCTTTAGCAGCTGGATCGGCCATGTAGACCCGAAGCTCCAGGTCCCTGCAAACGCAGTGACCGTTACGTGCGGTCTAACGATTATTCTAAGTTTTATTAATATTGGCTCGGATGTTGCGTTTAACGCTAGTACGTTTCCCCCCCCCCCTCTTTCCCCTAGCCAGTACGCTATGCTGACAACGATACCCCAGTCATTTCGCTCAACGTCGTCGCCCTAATGATAACCTACATGTTCTCCATCGGCGCCGTCCTCTACCGCCGCATCGTGCACCCGGAACTCCTGCCCTCCTGTCGCTGGTCCCTCGGTAAATGGGGTGTTCCCGTCAACATTGGCGGTTTCCTGTATTCCACCCACGCCTTCTTTTGGTGCTTCTGGCCTGAATCTACGCCTGTGGAGCCCG